TATATGTAAATTAATATTAAAATGCCTAGAATCATTGTTGTCTTAGGCCTCAGATTCCTCACTGATTTCTCAGTGTCCGATTGCCGGACCATCCCCCATTTGGAAGCTGGCAACAACAACAAAAAAAAAGTGTAGCACACTCCCGGGGGCACGGAGTGTCTGCCCCTGTTAACGTCTGTGTGTGCTTATTCTTTGCGGGGTATTCTGTGTGTGGTTTTCAGCGCGCTTTGCAACTCAATAAGTTGTAATTTTCTTGGAATTTTATGCGCCGGAACAGGGACAAAAACAGAACTTCAGCGAATGGAGGCGAACACGCGCGAATGCGCAGCGGAAATTGAAGATGAAAGTCAAGCAGATAGCAGACACAAAACACTAAACATTGAACACCTTGAAGGATGCGTTGGAGCCCCTGAAATCCTTCGATTGCAGATTGCTCGTTAGGTTGGAAAATCGAAAAATTGTGCAAGCCGGGCCTGATTGAAATGCGATCTTGAGTGGGTGCCAATCAAAAACTCCTGACTGGCAAACTGTCCAGACAATTAGTCCGCTTTATGTGGTTTATATGCCCTATGCGAGCCATGGCGACATACCAGTTAACAGCTTTAATGGCTGGCATAAAAGATGCATTGCCAGCCCGACGAAATCTCCTTTATTTGCATTCCGAGACACTTGGAACGACCGCACGTGGATGGCCAAAAAAACTACAAGTTACACCCGACGGACAAAAACGGAACAGTTCAGTCAAATAAAAAAACGCTCGAACCGAAAACGAGGCAAAATCGCGCTCCAGACGCGTTGTGAACGCGCCAACAACAATCCAGGCACTGAAAACGGCAGCAGCAGCAGGAACAGCTCCACGGGCACCAAAAGCACCATTAGGTCCTGGGCGGCCAAATCGCGCTCACTTACACAATCTCACACAGCAACATAGCTGCTCTGCCAGCCTAAACTGTACGAAAAATGGTTCTAAATTATTTAATAAGTAACGGTTAATGCATTGTAGTCTTCAGACAGCCAAAATATATATTTACAAAATTATTTACATATATATTTCTTTGTGCTCTTGTTTAAATAAAAACTATTTTTCAACACAAAAAATAAAACTAACAAAACGAACTAAATAACGAATAATAAAAAGATTTTTCTGTGTGCATTTCGTGCTCCATTGACTCAAATTTCACAACAACTACAAAGGCTTTCAGGTGAAGCACTCGCAGTAGCAGCGACAGCAACAAAAACTTTGTCCGGGGACTGCGAAGGGTGAGAGAGGAATCTTAACTGTTGCTCCGAGAGAGCAGTCTCCCAGGAGATTAAGAGAACGAGAGAGCGCCGCTCAAGGGTACAAGGTTCGGTGTTGCCGTGCTGCACCCACACTCCCACTCTCTTTAGTTCTCTCGCGAAACTGTTGCTCCTCAGCTTTACGCACAAAGCTTTCGTGGCATAGTTTTTTGGGCTGAAAGGAGCGCGAAGCTTTTACGTAGGCGTTTGTTTATATTTTCCTCCTGGCCGAGCATGTGTTTTGGCTCACACACATTACCCACTTACACATACACACGCACACTCGTGCCAGCACTCTGACACATTAAATTCTCCATGTGGCGGCACTTGAAGCCGAGTTATTTTCCTTCTTTTTTTTTCCTTATTTCCTTTTTTTTGTTTGGCCGTCTGAAAAATGACGTTGCTTGACCTCAGTGCCGTCTATTTACGGCTGTATGTGTGGGTAAGAGCCAGTGTGTGTGTGCGAGTGTCTTTTGTTATTCTAGGCCACAACGAATGAGTTAATTTCATGTTCTGCCCCCAAATTGTTGTCCATTTTTCATGTCCCTTTGTTGCACCAGCGGAAAGCAGAAAAAGGGCATCAAAAAATATGTTGGCCAACTTGTCTTTAAGTGCCTAAGACATAAAAGAATTTGTCTCACAAAATCTCCGCAGATTTGCTTTAAAACAAACTTAAGGACACCCACTTTTCAAAAATTATTGCTCTATTCTGTTTGTCTTCGTTATTTTTACCTGAAATTGAGCTTTGTTAATTTCTGTTATATTGGTGAAAATGTCTCCAAGCTAATATGAATACTTCTTAAAAAGCTCAAGAACGAATGATTTAAGACCCACCCACAGAGATTTTCTTTTGTTTGCTCACTTTTCGCTTCCCATAATTCATAGGCCGACTCATTAGGCATTTTCTTAAGCCCGAATTTGCATATTTTTGGCAGCAAGCAAACCAAAACGCACAAAGAATAAAACAGAATGAACGTGAAAACGAATCAAAACAAGGACAGACAACAAAAAACAATTAATTAGAAGGATCTCTGTTGTATTCTGAAACAAAATTCAATTAAATTTGTTACAAACCAAACAAATGGCAGACAGAGGACAATTTATTAGGCGAAATGGCTGGCAAACAAATGTTTAAATTTAAATGGCGCCTTCGGAAAGATGGTGTACATTTTGTCATAGTAAGGGAATTATTTCCGGCTTCACTGTTGAAGAACGACTGAATGCCAAACAAATTAAATTGTAATTAATCATTAGGTCGATCCACCCCCTCTGCTTTCAGCCAGCACGTGCTGAGCGACCTATGACAACGTTCCACGGCAGTAAAATGTCTGCCAATTAATTACAAAACGCATGAGAGGCCAGATAAGAGCGGCTGCCATTAAGGATAACGCCGGAGACGACAAACAGAGACAGCGAACAAAAACAGGAATTGGGGCACATGGGCAATTAACACGCTGCATGTAGCGTGTACATCTGTGCTGGTGTATAAATTAATTGATTTTCTTGTGTACCCTCTTGATTGCCGCCGGTTAAAAAAGAGGTGTAAATGGCCATAAAAGTTATAATTATGTTTAAACAGATTTTGTGTTCACTTTACGATTTTCAAGGCAGTTGAACATGTTAAATCTTTAATATTAAACTTGCAATTGATCCAAATTAGATACATTTCCAAAGCATTGAACACTGCGTATACGTAATTTGATGTACAATTTAGGCTGAGCAGAAGATGATATGAACATATACCAATTAGGAGACTCGTTTAATTAACAACATTTATGTCCGAATTAAACCATAATATTTCTGTGCTATTTTGAAAGCTTATTTCAGGCACACAAGTCAGGAAAAACCTTCTTCCTGAGGTCAAAATTGATTCCTTCGTGTTTGCCGTCAGCTTTGGGTTGTTGCCTTCTGTGTAATTGTCAATGCTCGTTAGCGACATCTGATTACTAAATACTGTACTTCCTTTGGCTTTTCACAAATTGACTTCTAATTGAATTGTTTAGTTGTGTTTATTTTGTCAATTCCACTTGGTTAAGTCGGCGGTGTGAGACTGTTTTCCTAATTGAAACTAATTGAAAATGTAAGGGTTTCAATCATTAAATTCTAAGTGTACACTTATAAGGAATTATGGGTTTTATCACTCCCTTAAAATTTTGATAAATTATCATTCAAATGAAATTTATTTTTGACATAAAACGAATTAAACATTAACATCGTTTTCACCTTTAAATGCCTTAAACGTATGTGTTTCGCCGCTCAGCAAGATCATTTATGATTAACTTGGCCAACACAAACGAAACCCAGAAATTGGCTTACTTCAATATGTGTTAAACATCCCACGCGTCCCCGCAAACAAACAAACAAGAAAACCCACGAAACAATGAAACAAAGCAAGCTGAACATTTTCTGCCACTTGTGCACTTGTTATATGCACTTAAAATAATTTGAGAAAGACAGAGGTAATTAAAAATAAAAATATATGTATATAATAATAATAATATTAAAAATGAATTATTCTATATTAAAAAAGAATTAAATCTAAAATAATATAAATTAATTAAGATATTTAAAATTTATTTCATAAACGTTTTCATTCGTTTTGTTATATTTATTTATTAATATCCTTTAAATTTATTTCTGTAAGTGATTGTGGATGTGGGCTAAATTTAACTGTAATTGTAATGCGTCCACACTGAGGGTGTTACATTCTGGCCGCCAACTGCCTTTGAAATTCCCAGGCCAACTACAAATGCGGCGGCCGATGCTGTCGGTATTTGAATTTTTGGAGGGCGGAAAATATGGGGAAATGTGGGTGTTTTTGGGTAGGAAAAAATGAAAAGGGTGAGAGAGGCGGAGGATACACGTTCGTGCGTTTTGTTACTTGTTGTACATTCCCAACACCATTATTCCTTTCATTTACTCAATTTTCGTGCTTTTCATCCTTTATTGTTGTTTGCTCGAGTGCCGTTATCATTTGTCGGTTTATTTTGCGCCATATGTGGCAAGGGATACCGCTCCTCGGCTTTTTCCTTTCCCTGCTTTTACTACATTTTGGCCCCTTTTCTTTTTTTCCCTCGATGAAGAGTGGGCGCAGTTTATGCGCTCAGCTCCAGTGGGAGCCCCAAGGCAAGGTGTACCTTCTTTTTGAACCCCATCGATGAAAAAAAGAACTAAGCTTACCCAACTTAACTTGACACATAAAAAAAAAAATAGTACGAATTTAAGGAAGGATAATGGGACATCAAACTCCAATATAAGAACTTAATTATAGTCTTACCTTTTTTATTCAATTAAAAACTCCTTGTGTTTGAATTGAATATAAAATTTTTGTAATACCATTAATATCACTTCATAAAGGTCGAAACTATATGTTATCATAACTTAATTAGGCATAAAAACCAAACTGTTCTTTCAGTGTACACGCACGGTCTCATCTGTTTGTGGGTGTTTATAATAACTGTAAAGTATATCACCACCTTGTTGAAGCACTCTCTTTTGACCTTTAGCCGGCGCTCTGTTTGTCTGTTAATGGCCTTTTTGATAACTTTTTGGCCATCTCCAGAAGAAAAACTCCATACGATACGCATTTATGTGCGTTGTAGGACTTAAATAATTTCCAAAAATATATATTTGAAAGTGAACTGGGCGGCACTACTGGAGTTGCCAGACTGGCAAACACATTTCGACCAGGGATGCCGTGTAACTATTTGCATCAGCTGTTTTTTGTTTACTTCGTTGATTCTCTCTTTTCACCTGTGCCGGAAAACGCATGCTTTTCCCATTTTCCCCGACATAAACAAATGCTATTTATATACGAATCGGCAAACTAATTGCTGCGGTGAAATGTTTTGTTTTCAACGGCCGCAGAAGTTCCCTGTTTTTGAGTGCGTGAGGTTGTTAGCCAAAAACGAAGAGGAGGCCAATTAAATAAGCAGTAAAATAGAAAAACTACAATATATTGGGCAATTGTGGCTGCCAAAAATATAACAATACGAAAAGGGTCTTTCCACGCTGGTAAACAGTAAGATTTGCTTTTTAAATATCTTAAATATACATAATATCTTCTATCGGATAAAAAATAACAAAATACGAATAAGAAGGTAATAAAGATGGTTTCGATAATTTAAAGGCGCCAAGTGGTACTATTCGGTCCGTTGTGATAAGCCCCACACCCCGGAACTGTTCGGCATTCTCTACCAGGACGATATGCCAAGAATTTGAAGGCTAATGGGGTCAACTGTTGTAAACAACAGGCCGGATCTGATTAACTTGTTGCAGTAGGTGAGTAAAACAGATTAGAACCCGGAATTGGACAATTACACTACTACTGACAATTTAATTAATGTGCACACGTTTTTAGATGCGGCCACAATTAATTTGCACAACAATGGACTGATGCGAACAGTTGTTAGCCGATGTCTGCCAAAAAAAAAATAGCAAAAGGAAGGGCAACATCAGCAGAAACTACAACAATTGCCAGAGCCGTAGCAACAATTACAAGAACCGAGTCAAATATTGCAAGTACAACAGCAGCATGCAACTGTGGCAACCCGGCCATATCAACATTTCGCCTAGAATTGAGCAATTTGCCAGTGCTGCTGCTGCTGCGTATACGTAATATTAAAAATAGGCTAACGCCCAGGCTGCAGGATGAACAAGCGCAACGTCATCATCGCGGGAATCGTGGCCAGCCTTTTGGGCCTGGTGCTCGGTGCCAACTTCTACTTCATGTACTACCTCAGCGCCGAGGAGGGCCATTTGGCCAGCGTTCGGGCGCTGGAGAACATGATTCGACACAAGATGCGCCACCTGAAGCCCAACTACCTCAATCGCAACCCGCGCTTCTTTATGTTCCGCAATAAGCTGCTCAAGAACTACAAGGCGGCGCCGTACGAGAACGCCAGCGTCCTCTGGGACATTGCCAACTGGGTGAGTCAATGGGTTCAGAAGTCAGGGAAAGAATATCTTATCGCTGATAAGCGATTGCTACATATTTGTTATCGTTATTTAAAATATTTTTTTAAATATGCAAGACGCAGAGTCACCTTTATTTTTTTAATACGTGGGAATTTAATTAAGATTTATATTTCCTGTGTTTCTTTTAGTGGCCTCATGAAAATGAGGTATACCCGTTGTACGATTCCTCTATGGGCCAGCTTTTGGAAACCATGCGCCGTGAACCGATCACCAGGGTAAGCAACCTGGCACGCGGCACCCAGTTGAAGCTGTTGATGCGCCTCTCACAGCAACAGAAGGTGATCTTCAAGCCCCAATGGTATCCTCGCGATGAAGTCATCGAGGGAACAGTATACAGCGGGAAGGATCGACACACTGCTGAAGTTTATGCCTTTTATCTTGGTGCAGTGCTAGACTTTCGATGGACGCCCATCGTTGTGGGTAGAGTGGTGAACTTAAAGAGGGAGATCTACGCCAACGGTGACCAGGAACTCCAGCAAACCATAAACATCGAAACGGACGAAGATGGCAAGGAAACTTACTGCTTATTCGGAAAGTGCCACTACTGCAACGAAGAGGAAACGGTTTGCGGTGACGAAAGGCACAACATCGAGGGCGTGCTCATCTATATCGTTCCGGGATCGTTGGCCAAGCGACGATCACCGTGGCAGCGCACCTACAAGGAGGACAAAAGAGCACCCTGGGAGGACGACATGACATACTGCAAGTAAGCTAAATATGACCCACTTTTAAAGTAAAAATAAAGATTTAATGTATCCCCTTTACAGGTCATTAAAGAACAAAATGGAAACTATTCGCCTGCTGGACCTTATAGATGTTTCAATTTTCGACTATCTTATCCAGAATGGCGATCGACATCACTATGAGACGAGAGAAGAGCGGGTGGTACTCATAGACAACGGAAAGTCCTTTGGAAATCCAAACAAGGATCACTTGGATATCCTAGCGCCGCTTTACCAATGCTGCTTGTAAGATTCTTTCATAATAATGTAACTAGATTAATTCTTATGAATACATTATAGACTCCGTAAATCTACGTGGGATCGACTGCAAGTATTCTCCGGCGGAGTGCTGACGGAGATCGTCGATAGGCTTTCCAAGCAGGATGCCCTCTATCCACTTATCACGGACAAACATAAAAAAGGAGTCGAACGACGACTTTTGGTGGTCTATGCAGTTGTGGAGTATTGCATGGACATCGAAGGCGAAAAAATGTTCAAAACTTTATAGTTCGAGATAGAGATTAAGGCTAAAACAGCTGCAGATCCTGATGAGCAAGCACTAGAGCTTCTGAAACTCACTTTCCACATCCTACTTAAAATGTTAGCTAAGAACTTTTAGTCAATGTTTACCTTCGACGGCTGTCAACATTTCTCTTATAACCTGGAATTGAGGCAAGAATGCTAAAAAAAAACTCAAACGTCTCTATTAGTATAACAATTCCCAAGATATTCAAGTTTTCAACGAAAAATATCTTTTTAACTAAATTCCCTGAAACAAATGGGTCTGTAAAATTAACCTTTAAAACATATCCGATAGTCTAGTTATAAGAATAGCGACGGTTGTTATTTAATAGGTAATATTTTAGTAAATTTGCAAAATTGTTAAGTATAGTTTTGTAGCTTAACTAAAAAGTGTGTAAACAATCAAAAACAAACACTTGTCTAATTCACTTTTGGTGGTTTTGTTTTTCCTTTCTTTTAGTTCACGTCTTAAATATAAATTTTCCAATAATATATGTTTTTAGACTTAATGCACATTTTCAGTTTATTTCTTGCCGTCTTTTTTTACATTACTAAATGTAAAAAGTTTGTTAAACTGTTTATTGTTGCGGTTGTTGGGACGGTTCTAAAAAAAATCAGATAATTAGGGAATGGTAGATATTAGAATACTTATTTTCATATTAGTAGAAGTACTGTTCTCTACTTACCTTTCCGCGCATATTCTGTTTGATTTCGGTGCCGCGAGCTCTTTGGGCTCCGCCTTTAAATTGCCGGAAGTCCACGTTCTTGTAGTCAAAGTTAGCTCCACCTTTAGGCTGAGGAACTTGCTGATTAGAACTCTGCGGATGATTTGCTCGGTTCTTAGCTTTAAAACCGCGTTGAAATTCTTTTCGCTTTTCCTGTCGCTTATTTTGCGGTGGCACTGGTTTCACTTTTTCCGCTGACTGCCTTTCTATTGGAACTTCTACGACCTCGTCATCGCTTTCGCCTGCAACTTCCTGAACAGCTTCTGCAGGTTCAGTCTTCACCGTCGGTTCTGGCTTGACTCTAGGTTGTGTATTCTCATCTTTGCGGGGCCTCTTACTGCTAGTTGGCTGGTGATCTTCGTCTGCTTTTCCGTTAGCTTGGTGCTTCCGTTTCAGTTGTTCCTTGAGAGGCACGGAGTACATGGAGTCTTCTTCTTGTTGCACTGATGCCTCCAACTTTATATTTTGCTCCGGAGCTGGCGCCGCCGGACACAAGCGTCTCTTGAGCAGCTCACTGCGTTCCCTGGCGATCTGATCGGCCTTCAGCTGCTCCATCAGAGGCAGGATGGCTAAGTAGCGTTTATAGGGCATACGGAGGTTCTCGCTCTCCTTGCGAATATGGGCCCAGCGCAGTTCCTCTTCCTGTGTAGGTTTGGCGGGCTTGTTAAACAGAGCCATTGCTGGTGCCACATTGATTGCATCTTCTTTGGGTATCTCCTCATCTTTGGGCAGAACGAGTTTTCCAGATGTAGAACTTCGTTTTAACAGCGTTGGCAAGTCGTCACGAGTCTCCTCCTGATGCGAAAAGTCATGCGGACAGTAGAGTTTGCTGCTGAAGTCCTTGGTCGAAGGTGGCAGGGAAGCCTGTGTGCTGCTACGGGCCTCTAAAATTGGCTGCAATAGTTTAATTGGTAATTAATAAATTGTTAATATCAGTTTAAAGTGGCTCCCGTTTAGACTAAATGATAAAAAAATATAACAAATAACTTTTGAATTTCTTAATGTTTGGTTTGGTTAGCCCCCTGTGAATATCAAATAAATTAGACCACTCCATGCGTCAAGCTATTCTCTTCATTTCAAGGTTAGTTACAATTAATGGATAATGAAAAAATTTCTGAATAGGCAGCGGCGTTGAACGAGTTGCAGGCGCTGCTTGAAACCGCTGGGAAACTCACTTTGATAAGAGGCTGATCGCGTGCCCTGAGAACGATCTGGTGAAGCGTGTGCAGCTGCTGTCGCACCAGTGGCGGAATCGGATTGCAGCAGGCCAGGATGCCCTGCATCTCCCTGGGAAGGCTCTCGGCGATCTGGAGCATCATGTGGTTGGGCAATACATAACCATAGCTCTCGTCCTCCGACCGCGCTGTCGCATCACGCCACTCGAAAATTCCGCGCAGAGCGTGCAGCTGGCGGTTGTCAAAAGAGCGCTTTGTTTTCCGCACCAAATCCAAGTGCGATTCCGGTCCAATGTGAGGCTTATTATATCGCTTCTTGCACACATCCGTGCTCATTTGATATACACTGTTCAGCAATCCCGGGTCCGCCTGCTGCTGGAGCAGGTCGTTTGTCATCCTTTCGTAAACGTATATCAGAAAATGGGTATCCTGACGGGCATAGTCCACCAGTTGCTGAGGCAATGGTCTCATCCGCCAATCGGCCAGTTGCAGGCTCTTGTCCACATCCAAATCAAGGTAGTACTTCAGCAGGAAGGCCAGCGATAACCGGGCAATATTTAAAGCTTTGGCTGCCCGATGGGTGTCGAACATGTTGACGATATACAGCGACAGGTCCCGCTGCAGCCACTCAATATCCAAATCGGCGCCATGAAGTATCTTCAGTTTCTTGGGATCGGTGAGTACCAGATTAAGTATATGCATCTCTTCACGCAGCTTCAGGGTATCAAAAATATAATCTTTGGAGCGAGTAGACATCTGGACCAGGCAAGTGATGCCCATAAAGGTGCGATACGAGTGGTGTTCGACATCGATGGCGATCTCGGAGGCTTGTCTTAATTCCTCCAAGGCCTGCTTTAGTTTTTCGACGGTGTCCACTAGCATCAGTTCGGTATCTGCCATCGGAGCAGGTAGCACTGGCTTTTGCTTTTGAAGTTGTTTCGCTGGGGGCTGAAACTTTAGCAGCTCGAACTCGTAGGGATGGAGGTAGGATTGGATATTGCCAGCCTCATCGTATTCGGGCAGCAAGGCCAGTGGCTTCAGCGAGTTTGGCTTTTCCTTTAGTGTTGGAGTGAATGGGTTCTGGGCACTGTTGTCTACTGGCTCCTTAAACTGAGTCTGCGGGCGCACAATGTTTTTGGCGGTGAAGAGGCGGGCAGAAACCATGTTACGTTGAGGCGTTCCAGTCGTTCTATTCCAGCTGCCCGCCTTTGGTGCCTCCTGCGTTTGTGGAGAAGCAGCTGCTGGCTCTGCTGATGTTGCGCTGCTCATCACGTCTACCTGAGCCTCCACCACCTGGTGGGGATTCCTGCGCAGACCGCTCTTAATGTCCAAGTTGGTTGTAATGCGCTCAAACAGTATGTCGTTGCACTCCTGCACCATCTCAAACTGCTCATCCAGTTGACGTCTGTTTTGAAGAAGGTAAATCAAATTAGGAACATTATATTATTGCTTTAAAGATCATTACAACAACAAGCTTTAGACGCACTTCTCAGATGCAGAACAATGTACGGATGATAAATTATGATTCGTTTATAATTTATGATTAATAGAGGTATACTTTGCTGTCGTTGACGAAACCTTACTTTGTAATGTCACCCTTGATCTGCTTGGCCTGAAGCACATTGCCGATTAGTCCAACCACCCGTTGGGACAGGTCGTCCATGACACGTGCATAACCCGGATAGCTCAAATACAGGGCCCGGGCGGTTCCCTGTGGAAAGGCATTGGCGGCTCTTGTGGCTGCCACTACGTTCTTGAAAGCTTGCTGAAAAAAACAGTTATCAAATGGTAAGGAACGAATTAAATAAAATGTAGAATCTTAACCCACGTTTGTGAAAGCCTCGACGTCTTTGATTTGGTTGTCGCCTTCTGAAGCAGATTGCTCTTGGGGATGCTCTTCCTTGGCATGCTCCTCCTCTTCATCCAAGTGTGCTCTTTTCGGGGGTCGCGGCATTTTAGTTGCTTTGTTGATATTTCGTGTTCTTTGCGGTACAAAATTTTATTCGTTTTACAGAATGTAGAAAATGTGCGTGTTTCTCTTCTTCTTTTGGGAATAGAATAACAACAGCTAGAATTTGGAGTTTATCAACTCTACCGGCAGCGAAGTTTATTCACTTTACAGCACTACACGGCGCTGGCCGCACAAAAAAAAATCCAGTTTTTCGTATTAGAAAATTTTAGTCGAATTTGGAATACTGATCCTGTAAAGTTGAAATAATGACAATCCCTGCTTTAAACGTTTACTTATTTTATTTTTCATCACTAACTTCCGTTTTTATTTTTTCTCGATTGAAAAAATTTTAACAATCTAGCTTTAAATTACATAGGTAATCATGCCAGCCAAAGTTAAAATCAGCATTCCTTTTTTTTAGATAAGGGGCCAAATTCAAATATTAGATCCTAGGAGATTCAAGCTTTTAAATTATCAAAAAAAGGCCAAGCTATTTTTTTTAAAATAAAAATTAATACATAATTGTGTTTGGTTACCAGCTGATTTCCAGTGTGTACACACCACAAAACCGGCAAAAAAACCACTAGAAGAAGAACCAACTCCAGCAGGAAGACTCGGAGTTACGTGCTAAAAAGTAATTATTAAGTCTAAGTTAAGTTTGTTTTAGAGATAACCCCACATCCAAGATGCTGGACTTGTACAGACGCACGGTGGCGCGATTTCCATTGGGTAGCGTTACCTATATGTTCGCCTACGGATCTGGCGTGAAACAACAGGAGGGCTATGAAAAACTGGGTAATGGAAATGGTTGGCGTCCAGCGCCGGGAAGTGTTGTAGACCTCGTATTCTGTGTTAAGGATGCCAAAGGATTTCATGCGGAGAACCTGCATCGCCATCCGGATCATTATTCTGCTCTAAGACTCCTGGGAACTAACTTTCTGGCCAAGTATCAAGAGCGTTTGGGTGCCGGCGTCTACTGCAACACTTTGGTTCCATTGGCGGATGTGGGTTTGACCATAAAGTATGGAGTAGTGTCTCAAGAACAACTACTTCAGGATCTGCAGGACTGGCGACATCTCTATCTAGCTGGAAGGCTCCACAAACCCGTGACGAATCTGGTTAATCCATCAGATAATCCTCCTTTGAAGGCTGCCCTGGACAGGAATCTTTTGTCAGCCCTACAAGTGGCTCTACTGCTTTTACCCGAAAAGTTCACAGCCTACGATTTGTTTCACACCATTGCCGCTTTGAGTTACAAAGGAGATTTCCGTATGATTTTCGGAGAAAACAAGCGGAAGGTTCACAACATCGTCAATCCACAAATTAACGACTTCTTCTCCTTGTATCAACCTTCATTGGGGCAGCTCTCCAATTATGTGGCTGTAAATATGAAGGGACATGAGCCAGGAAGTAGGAAACCAGCCATAATCTTTGAGCAGGATAAATCCTCGACAGCCACTGCTCAACACCTTCACCAATTGCCCGAGGAGCTCAAGAAACGACTGGAGCGGAATGCTGCCTGCAGTGGCGACTACACCAAGGTGGTGGAGTATCTATCCATGGCTTCACAACTACCGGAAGTGGTGCAGGCATCCGTCAACGACATCGTTTGGCGCAGCAGTGTCACGCAATCGATCAAAAACATTGCCAGTGCGGGTGTTCTTAAGTCCCTGGTCTATAGCTACCGCAAGGCTCAGAAAACATTCGCTGTTTAGATAATTTCTTTTTGGGCTAAGCCCTTTAGCTGCCAATCGACCGTCTAGTTGTCCTATCCAATTGCATTTCGTTATATATTTTTAAGCCTAAAAGTTGTTAACTGCAATATACGTTTAGCTCAAGCCAAAGACCTGAGTTTTTTTGGGGATCACAGAGAGAAGTCCTCCAGTCAAACAACAGATATTTTATTAGTGGGCGTTCGAGGAACCTGCATTTTAGTTTTCGGAAAACAACCTAAGGAAAATGAATGCCATGTCGTGTTTGGTACAGAATAATATTTTTAATCAATAATTCATTTTAATTTTTTTTACAGACAATGTCCAGCGAAAGTAGCAGTAGTGACAGCAGCATCTCAAGCGATGAAAGACACAAGAAGCGAAAGCACAAAAAACATAACAAGGATGTGGACAAGTCCAAAAAGAAGTCAAAAAAGCACAAAAAAGAAAAGCGCCGACACAAGGAGAAAAAGCGTAGCAGGCATGAGAAGGAACAAACAGCATTTCAACCCCAACCTTCTGTTTTGGTAAATCTTCCCCCACCTGATTTGGCTTCAAACAGTGAGGATGCATTCGGTCCTGCCCTTCCACCGCACTTAAGAAAGTCTAGTCAGCCGGAAATGCCAGTAGAAGGTAATCCTCAGAAAGAGCTGGGACCGCAACCCAAGGCCATGATTGGTCCCATTCTACCTAGCAATTTGACCATGGATAAGTCTCCCAATAAAAACGATGAAGCTGATAGTGATGATGATCTAGCTGGTACTTTTGGGCCCCTACCTAACGCCAGCCAAGTGGCACTGGAGGAGCGTGCTCTTGCACTCAAATTGGCCGCTTTAGAGGGTGGAGGATTGGGTACTTCCACAGACCAAGAAGTGCGAGAAGAGTGGATGCTGGAACTGCCAGATGTGGGATTAAAGAGCGGTCTTGCCGCTCTAAGCAATATGAAGCGCACATTCTACCAAGGAAAGGAGCGACCAGACTTCAGCGATCGTTCCTCCTGGACGAAGACACCTCAGAGTGAAGCGGCTGCAGCTGCATCCGGTCCAAAAGCATTTAGTTCCAAGGAGCTGGAGCAGATGGCTCAGGCGAAATACGAGCAGCAGCGCGATGATGAACAGGAGAGCATGGCCAAAAAGCACAAAAAGAAGCACAAGAGGGAAGAATCTTTAGTTGATCTGCATCAAAAAAAGTTAAGAAAAGAACAAAGAGAAAAGGTGGGAGCAAAACAATAATTCATTAATGTTGGTTGCATATTTAAGTTAAATTTCTTAATAGGAAAAGGAACTTGCGGCTTCGGGATCCAAGCCAGAGCGAAGACCATTTAGTAGGGACGTGGACTTAAAGCTCAACAAGATCGACAAGAATCAAACCAAGCAGATTGTCGACAAGGCCAAAATACTTAACACGAAGTTCTCCAGGGGACAGGCTAAGTACCTGTAACAAGAATTTATTTTTTTATTTAGGCAAAAGAAAAAAGGGAATAAAATATACACACGTATTGTAGTTTTATTGGCTCTGCATAACTTTAAGCTTATTCTTTATCGACATAAATAAGTAAGTTGAGGACATACACTTAAGTGGAAAATAAAAGCTAAGAGTACAAAAAATATTTTATTTTCAACGCTGCGGCGGTGGCTTCGGCTTTGGAATCTTGGAAAGCAGCATTTGAATTTCGTCCTTTTCCTTCCAATCCTTCCATAACTCGTACAGATTGACAATAGCACGTACGATCTCCTGAACTTTATCCAAATCTACATTCAGCTCGGCGAACCATTGCTTCGTTGCGTCTTTTTGCAGAATAACGCAAGCGATCTGAAGGCAGGCGATGGCGATCTGGGATAAAATATGTTGTGTGATCAAATGTCATTAGTTTGCTACTTCGGATCACCCACCTGATAGGGAGGATACAGTAGGCAGACATCGGTGCGCAGGGAATCGTTGACAATGCGCCAGCTCAGAGTAAGCAACTGGTCCTCCTGACCCATGTCCTGTACTAATTGCAGCAGTGGTCTGTACGGCTGGTAGACGATTAGGCAGCAATCCAAGTTCTCCAGTAGATAGAACTCGCACTCCAGGATGTGATTGGTGCGGTAGGGGAACTCCTGGGCGTAAGCATAGCTGAATTTGGTCTTTATGGCAGACTGGCAGATGGAAATCAGACGAGAATTGGAAATGACACCGAACTCCTCCACTTTGGATGCCAGCAAAATGCAAGTGGGGGCCAGCAGCAGAGGATCGATGTTCTTCAGTGAGTTTCTCGCGTAGAATCGCTTAAAGTACACCGTAGCCGTGGCAATAACCTGTTGCCTGAGTTTTAACTGCTCACCGAGCACCTGGATCACGTTGGCAAAGAATATAAACACCTTTTGGTATTCATCCTCGTTCAGCGCTAACAAATCGTGCTGACGCTCCCTTAGCAGATCCTGTTTGTCCAAAATCCACTGCTGGGAGTGCGAACTCTGCCAGAAATTTCCCGCCATTTTGTTAGGAGTAGGCCGAGCTACAAGCGCCGGCCAAAGTTTTTGTGTTAGCTATCCAAATTTATTGTTAATTTTCAAAGAACGCCGACCCGACCAGAAAAACCGAAAAAATTGAGTTGCTTTCGCAGACAGTGTGTGCACACTTTGGGTTTTTCCCACAAACAGCTGATTGACCGCCGCCAACTTAACGTTCGCAGTTCATCAGTGTGTGTGTGTGTGAATTTTCTTCAGCGCCGCGGCCACAGACGAAAAAGTCTTAAAAATTTTTTAGTTAATAAGATATTAAACGATTTAACTAAACGATGGCGTTGCGAGTTCTTGGCGTGACGCAGAATATGCGTACCTTCATGCGCGGCGTTGACATGCTCAAGGTAAGTCGATCCAGCCAGCGAATGATTACGCTCCTCAGGATTTAAATTACGTAATTTGTAAATGGTTGTGTATTTGGCAGTGTTTTCGGGTAACATCGGGAATAATAATTAAAAATAAACAGATCTTTGTTGGGTGTTTCGAAAGCCTTTCAGTTTTTCTGCAGAAAACTCTGAGAATTTGTTTATAAACCCCCTTACAAGTTCGTTGAGGTTATGTTCGTGCTTTACTTAACTTTGTTCTAAAGTTTATTTTTCATTTTCCCAAACTTACAGCGCTACAAGTCGGCTGCCACGCTGCAGAAGACCTTGTTGAACATACCCGCCACCCAGGTGACCAAGCTGGACAACGGTCTCCGCGTGGCCAGCGAGGATTCCGGCGCCTCCACCGCCACCGTGGGTCTTTGGATCGATGCGGGCTCACGTTCCGAGAACGAGAAGAACAATGGAGTTGCCCACTTCCTGGAGCACATGGCCTTCAAGGTGAGAACACCGGTTTAGTCCTTAAAAAACATACTTTTCTAAACTCATTTTAAAGGGCACTGCCAAGCGCTCGCAGACCGATCTAGAACTGGAGGTTGAGAACCTGGGCGCCCACTTGAACGCCTACACCTCCCGGGAGCAGACCGTCTTCTACGCCAAGTGCTTGTCCAAGGATGTGCCCAAGGCTGTCGAGATCTTGGCCGATATCATCCAGAACTCCAAGCTGGGTGAGGCCGAGATCGCCCGCGAACGCTCCGTGATTTTGCGCGAGATGCAGGAAGTGGAGAGCAACCTGCAGGAGGTTGTCTTCGATCATCTGCATGCTACCGCCTACCAGGGCACTCCTCTGGGCCAGACCATTCTTGGACCCACCAAGAACATTCAGTGAGTGTTTCTGTGCTTTACAAGACTACAGTCTACATACAAATATTACGTGTTCATATAGGTCCATTGGCAAAGCCGATTTGACCGACTACATCCAGACCCACTACAAGGCTTCGCGCATCGTTCTGGCCGCCGCCGGCGGCGTCAAGCACGATGATCTGGTCAAGCTTGCCTGCGGAAGCTTGGGCGGTCTGGAGGCAAGTGTGTGCCCGGCGGAGATTACCCCATGCCGTTTCACCGGCTCCGAGGTGCGCGTACGTGACGACTCTCTGCCCCTGGCCCATGTGGCCATCGCCGTCGAGGGCTGCGGCTGGACCGACCAGGACAACATCCCCCTGATGGTGGCCAACACCCTGGTGGGTGCCTGGGATCGTTCCCAGGGCGGTGGCGCCAACAACGCCTCCAACCTGGCCCGCGCCAGCGCTGAGGACAGTAAGTGGTGCACTCCCGGACCTTTTGGATGTTTGAACTGACTTTATTTCTGTTTTAGATCTCTGCCACAGCTTCCAGTCTTTCAACACCTGCTACAAGGACACCGGTCTCTGGGGCATTTACTTCGTCTGCGACCCTCTGCAGTGTGAGGTAAGTCAATCTTTAATAAAGTTAATTGCAGGGGAAATTTTATTATGACATTTTAGTCAAGTAAAGCAATTTGCAAATATTTTAATTTTGCAATTTACTGATATTTTATTTAAATCATTCAGGACATGCTCTTCAACGTGCAAAGCGAATGGATGCGCCTGTGCACCATGGTCACCGAGGCCGAGGTGGAGCGCGCCAAGAACCTGCTGAAGACCAACATGCTGTTGCAGCTGGACGGCACCACGCCCATCTGCGAGGACATCGGCCGCCAGATCCTGTGCTACAACCGCCGCATCCCTCTGCACGAACTGGAGCAGCGCATCGATGCCGTGAGCGTTGGCAATGTGCGCGACGTGGCCATGAAGTACATCTACGACCGCTGCCCGGCCGTCGCTGCTGTGGGACCCGTGGAGAACCTGCCCGACTACAACAGAATCCGCTCCTCCATGTACTGGCTGAGGGTCTAAGGAGTTCCACCCCGGCTGTTGTTGGACATTGTAGTTTAATTCAAATGAAAATTTCGCCCGCAGAGGATCAGTAAACCGATAATACTAAAAGTTACATAAGTTGCTGCGCCTTTATTGATGTGTGTAATTAATGGGAATGCCGCTGAGTCCCTGCTGCAGCGGGGCGGGTTCCGTTTGGCCCAGGGCAGGGTCCAATCCTTGCCAGGTGCGATCCTCGAAGGAGAGACCCGTGTCCGTGGTCATTAAAGCCATTTTGGCTTGCGTGGCTAACGCAAGTGAAGCAGGATCTCCGGCTGTTTCCACGGAATCGTTTAGCGCTCCTCTTAGCCTTCCGCTAACCAAGCTGACATCGTTCTCTGGTATGCCTGCCACATCGAAGGGTAGAAAGCTGCGACCTTCTGGCAGAAGTTGCTTAAAGTCCGTCACATAGGCCTCGGGATATTTCATGTGCCAAGCGGGATTTAGGGCCATCTCTGCTTCGAAGACAGACACAATGGGCTTATAGTACTCCTTGGAGTCATACATGTTGTTGAAGGGACAACCGATAAGTACAAAGCAATCAATCTCTAGGAAGTTGGCCAGTTTGGCAGGGTTGATTCTTCCCACAGAAATAAGCTGCGTCTTGATACCTCTGCCCTTGGCCATAGTTTGCAGGCGGGCCACCACATCTAAGTAACCCTCAGCCGAAAGCGTTGCCACAATCAATCCCAGGGTTTGTGCATCCTTGCATTTTTCGATGTGGAAATAGCGACGACGGATGAACTGAGCCGTGAGTGGATTCTTGGAACTAAGAGCGCCGCATGCCCCATCGTAGATATACCACTGGACTGCAGCGAGAGCGGTCAGGGAAAGATTGGCAAAACGCTGGTTGTCGCTGCCTATAAAAATGCAAATCCGTTCGAGGCTGGAGGGCTCCTTAGAGGGACTTGAACTCCCTTCAATGGGAGGAAACAGCTCTAGCAGGAGATCCTTAGGCTGCAGGGCCTCAGTCAGTTGCTTCTTTAACTCCTCCTTATAGATATGCTGGTATCCAATGTCTAAGTAAACGCACACCTGTCGCTCTTTGCTATCTGGACGAAGGCTCTGTAATTTGCCGAGAAGAAGATCCAAATCCAAGGGTAACTCTGGGTAAAGATAGAGCACCGGCAAGCGGGAGGCCCTGCTGCGACAGGCATTTCCGAAGTGAATCACACTATCTGCATCCACATGAGCAGCCGCAATCTCGTCAACGCAACAGCTACCGTACGTGGTGTCAGCCAGGATAAAGACCTTTACTTCCTCCGGCGCAAGTAGCTTCCTTAGGTCCACACTAATGGCATTACTGTGGGGCAAATAGTCGTCAGGAAATTGCAGGCAAACCTAAACAAGAAATTTAGAAAATAAATTATAGAGCTATTAATACATCGAAATTACGCACCCTTTTGTAACTATTTTCGCGAATCCAATCAACGCTTGTTTTACTATGGTTTTCGTTCCAAATCTGTTCAAAAGACACCGGCTGCTCCGTCTCCGTTTGGCGCTCCAAAGCAGCGGTGTCCGAGCTGGAGAAAGCCGATGCTGATGTTTCGGATGAGCTCATTTCCAATAAATTCGACAAGAATCCTTTGTTCAACTTTTTTTGTCCAAAAAATAAAATGCAATTAAATAAACAATAGTGGTGGACCACCCACAAAGTAATCGATATATCGTATTCATCGTTAAATAAAACGTTCGTTTCGATAGTTAACGATACCACTAACGAAAATGTGACCATGGAAATTCGATTGCTGGTTTGAATAATTTTCTGTTAAGCATCAAATAATTTTTAAATTCAAAATGGGGACTAAGACACAACCATTTCCTTAATAGGATTTTAACAATGTTTATTCTCTCACAAATCGTTTTTATGAGGAGAATGTGTCGATACAATTCATCTCAAGCGATCACATTGATCTTGACCCAAATTAACCTTTTAAAACGCCTACCAACACTTGTTGCTTTCTCCATTTCTCCCACTAAAAGAAGATGTTCAATGGTTAGATCTACCATAACATTGACAAAAAATATGAAAAATCAAAACCTTCGGTGTGTTGTAAAAAAATGTTTTGAAAGTGGGAAGCAGGATAGCAGCTCCATGTTCAAGTTTCCCATGAATCCGGTTATTCGAAAAAAGTGGATGGAGAACGTTGGCCTTTTGAAAGACTTTAATTTATTCAACAGTCGAGTGTGTAGGCGTCATTTTGAGACGCAGTGTTTTGGCAAGGCGAAGCTATTTTCCTGGGCAGTTCCGACCCTTTTTTTGGGTAAATTGATTAACAAAATATAACCCTTAATACCTCTTTACACATTTTATGTAAACATTTCCAGGTGAAAAAGAAGTTCTCCATCAAAGCAGTAAACCACAGAAAGATTACATTCGAAAATGTGTCATCAAAAACTGCCCATCACGATCTCCTCCCGAAAGATTACATTTTTTTCCCACAAACCCAGAGTTGCGACAGGAGTGGATGGATATATGTCGCCTTTCCGTGGACAACAAGGTGCTTTTTATTTGTGGCAGGCACTTCAGCCCCACTTTTCTGCCCAATCGCAAAGGCAATTTAAAAAAGAACGCCATTCCAGAGCTCTATTTGGATGAAGAAGGTAGCGATCCTCTCGGAAGGACCTTTAAGAGCGAAAAAGGCATTCAAAGAAGAGAATATTGTGTCCCAAGAGCGATGATTCAGGCATCGACGATGAAAGCTACAAGGAGAGCAGGCCACATGAGTCCTGCTCCAACTGCCTTGACCTCGAAAAGAAATTGACAGATGCACTTCTTCGAATTGAGCAGCTCGAGAAAAACCAGAAGACTGAAACAGACAGCGACGAAGAGGAAGAACTGATTTTCGTGCTTATGAAATAGACATGTTCTCTTCATAGCTTAAAGTACCTTTATTCTAGTGCATAACTAATTCTAATTGAATCAGCCGCCTGTTGGTGTCATAGGGCAGGCGATATGGCATTGTTGCTGCCATGTTAGACAGGGCTTTAGCTCGTTGTTTGAGCTCTTGCATCTGGCTCTGTTCCAATGGGCCACCCATGCCCGCCTTCAACTGTTTGTACTGTCGCTGGGCAATGTCCATGGCGGCCACAATAACATCGGGCAGCACCTTAATTACCTCTCCGCTCAGTCGTTTCACGTTGGCCAGACAAATATCCACATCGTTCGTCGTGTTGGGCATCAGTTGGGTGCGCCGCAGCTGCTCCAGTGCAGCACACAGCTTTCCCTCATGATAGAAGTTGAAGAAGATAAGCAGATCCTGAAGAAGCACAAAGCTGCACTTCATTTTGGACTCCACCTCAATGCTGTCACTGGCCAACAGCTGGCTAAATCTCTGGGCTTCCTGGTCAAGTCGCTCCCTTAACGATCCTCCCTGCGTTGGTAGCTGCACCACCTGAGCCAGCAAAATACAGATGTGCTTCAAGGCCAAGTTATATTTGCCGGCCATTTCGTAAAGTCGCGCTGAGATCTCAAAGTTTCCAAGGGAAGCCAGTTCATCGGCCACCAGCGCGGCCATAGTATGTGTATCGAACTCCGGACAATCAAATTGGCGGAAAAGTCCGCTAAAAAATTACCATTAATACCGATTAACAATAAAATAAAACTTCTATCTTACCTGTTAACCTCGTCGTGGTCACTCGTTTGCCGCTGGCCGAAAATCAGGTCGAAAATTGTGGTATCGAAGACGCCACTTTCCACCACCACATCGCACACACAAGACATGAACATGTTTCTGCCCTTGGGATCCTTCAAACAACGCAACGTGTAGTAGTAGTGCAATGCCTCAGAGGTGTCCGTGCGCTCGAATCGCTGCACATAAAGCCGTATCAAACGGGTTAAATTAAGCCGTCTTAGAGGCTGCGGATCCATTATGTCAATCGAGATCAGAGGCTGGGATACGCTGCGCGCTCCGCCCAAAAGACCCAATTCATGCAGGGCTATGGCCATGTGCACGGCATGCACCCTAGTGTCATCCCGGCGGGCCAGAAACTCGATGGCGGCCTCAAACTGGCCCGTGAGCGCCAAGGTCTCAAAATATAAAATCGGCTGCTGGCCGGCATTAAAGTACTTCTCACCGTACTTTTCCAGAATCAGTGACTGTAGTTTCCCATAACTGGCGGCGTCACCGGGATTTAGCATAGCCAAGCGGATCCACAGGAAGTCATCAATGGTCTTGGCCACCTCTCCGTGGACTTCGTTTACATCGCAGGCCAAGAGAATGCAGTAAACAGCTTTCTTATAAGCATCCGTGGAGTTGCGAATCTTGTTGGCATACTGCAATCGTAGTTGGTTTTCGATTCGAGAATTGGTTTCACCCGCATTTCGATCCGCCACCAGCTGGGCAAACTCCTCGTGACCCGCCTCGCGAAGGAATTCCACCGCCGTCTCAACCGAACCACATCGCAGTCCGTAGTAGACCAACGGCCACAAGGGTCTTTCACCCACGGTGTCCACAAGACCGATGGCTTGCTGGGCACTGAATCGGTGGCTTACATACGCCAGGACCAACTGATAGCTGTTGATGGCAAAGGAGTCGCCCACCTGAGAGCACATGAACACCCGGTAACGCCGTTCTAAGTAGGATTTAGCGTGGTTAACGAACTCAGGCCGCTGCTGCCGGCTCTTGAGGGGATCGGTGTTCAGAGGTTCGCTTATTTGAGTGACGCAAGTCAGCAGAGTCCACATATCTGTCAGTCGAGAATCGCCAAAGCTCTGGGATAGCTGAGCGAACTTTTGCACGAGATTGGGTCGGTGGCTCCCCTTAAGCAGTAGTTCATTATACTGCCTGAGCTCCTGTGCGTAGACAAGTTCTAAGGCATCGAGACAGGAACGAGGCTGGCAGTTGGGATTAAGGATTGTCGGTTCGGGCAGCCGCTGCAGGTCGATAAAGTTCTGCGAGGGTGCTATTAAAGCGTCCAGCAACCGGGTCTTTTCATCGTTCCAGGTGTTGTTAATGCTGGCCCACCTTTGCTTGGTTACCGAATCACTGATCTGGGGGTTGAGGAACATGTCAGAAATAATTTGTACTTTTTATACCTTACTTACATTCTTGTTCGTATCCTCGATCACTGAAAGGATGGCATTCTCGCGCTCATTCTTCAGAAACGTTCGCACATCCGTGTCTGCTTTAACGTCCAGAGGCTCGAAGGTTTTCCGCGCACTCAAAGCCTCCAACTTCTGGTTAAGTTTGGGCAGATCAACGCCCTTGGATCCCAGCAGTATATGCCTGGTAAAAAAGAAATATATAAAAGTTTGGGCCAGTTTGCTTGCAGCATATGTATGTACTCACGCCTGTATTTCTTTGCCGCCGGTTTGGGTAACGCGGGAATGGAGCTCCGTGGTGGCCTGCAGGACCTGCTGAAGCGTGCGCTCCACGGCAGGCAGCTCGCACTCCGCCTTAGTCTCATTGGTCAAGTTTTGGGCTCGCTGCAGCAGCGTGTTTAGGTCCATTTTTTACAAATAAATAAACTTACACTAAAAACCCACCGAAGCACACATGGATCAGAGTGCCCACATTTTTGCGCCACAACCTAATTAGGGATAACATTATCGGTTGTTCAGCTATCGACCTTAATGGAAATACCGTGTAAACGTTTTTTGAAAAATATTGTCAAATTTTATCGGAAAATGTGCGTTTTTAAATCTTCTTTACTAAATTACCCTTTTCCGCTTAGCCCAGGGCAATTCATATTTGAAGTTTCTGCGATGAAAAAACGTTACAATAAAATGATTAGGGCAAGGTTATGCATTCTATACGCGACCTCATTCGAACCTCTTAGGTTTAAAATTGTTATTAAGAGTGCATTTAAAGATAATTCCCGATAAAATTGAAACTTTTTTTCAGAAAAGCCACTGTTCTGAATATTTCCCGGGGTTTTATTTAAAATTTTCATGGTAATTGTTTACAAGTGCGGTGCACGGTAAATACAGCTTAAAAAATAAAGTAAAATATGGAATCGATGTGTTTTTTTCTAAAACTTCGAAATCCGTTGGCGGAGATTAAAAATTTTGCACCGTTTTTTTGTTATTAACAATTAAAGATTCGATTTGTAGTACAAATTCGGATCTGAGTGACCGTATTTGCAATAATCCGCGACCAGACGACTGCAATAATCGGCATATCACATGCAAATACGGTCACTCAGACCCGAATTTGTACTACAAATCGAATCTTTAATTGTTAATAACAAAAAAACGGTGCAAAATTTTTAATCTCCGCCAACGGATTTCGAAGTTTTAGAAAAAAACACATCGATTCCATATTTTACTTTATTTTTTTAAGCTGTATTTACCGTGCACCGCACTTGTAAACAATTACCCATAACTCTTCCACTTTTAAAATGACGTATTTCTAAAAGTTGCAACAGGAGAACCAAAATTTGAACCTTAAAATCCAAATTCCCGAAATTTATTGTTGATATCGATAGTTTTGTATTATTAACTGTATTTTGCCATCTCTATAAACATAGCACGCGGGTTTTGTTTTTATAGTTTGATCCACTTGTTAGCTCGTTTAAAATGGCCCTTCTGACAGAGAAGCGCCCAACGAAGACAACTGCTCCCGCTGCCGACAACTCTCCGGAAGAATCGGAATCCGAGGGCAGCCAGAATTCCGGTAGCGAGGCGGAGGGAAACGCCGGGTGGGCAGATTCAATCCTGAAAGTCCTCAAAACCACCAAGCCAGTAACCCAAAACAAAACCGTGCTAGCACGTGCCAAAAGCAGCCAGGCGGCAGTGCGACCTCAAAAAAACGCAGCCACAAAGAAGCCTGAATTCGACTTCGAAATTGAGAAAACGGAGCACGTGAAGGAGGAGGAAGATGACGACAACGATGAAGATGAAAAGCCTGAGGCCTCAGCTTTGGATGCCACGCTGACCAAGCAGCAGCGTAAGAATGTGCCTCTACAGCTGCGTGTTAAGCCCAGCTATCGGGATTTGGAGCGCGAACGTACGCTCCGCAAAGTGGCCACCCGCGGTGTGGTGCAGTTCTTCAACGCCGTGCGCATCCAGCAAAAAGATCTGCAGCAGCAACTGGAGGATGCGGGTCCGCTGGACAGCCGGCAAGATGCGGTGCTCAACAACATCAACAAGCGCAAATTCCTGGACGTTCTGATGAGCGGCAAGCGGGCCAAGTCGACAGCCATTGACAATGCTGTGAAGAAGGAGGAACAAGAGACGGATGAGGATGAAGAGGATGAGGGTACAAGCGGCAAAAAGAAGTCCGAGTGGAATGTGCTCCGCGAAGACTTTATGACCAACAAAAAAATTAAGCACTGGGACGAGGAAGACGATGACGAGGAGGGCAACAACGATGGGGCAGATGATAGCGACGATGACGATGGGGAGGATTAGTTTTAAATTTTTTAATAAATGTTAGTTTTTCAATCAATTCAAAGACCTTTATTGTATGGGCCTAGCTTATCATCTCTGCCTTGGAGGTCATGTAGATGGCCACGATAAGACCGAACAGTCCGATGGCCGAGCCAAAGATCTCTACAATGAGAATCTTTACGAAGAGCGCCGAATTTGCTGCATCCGAGAGGGCGGCTCCAGATCCCACGATGCCCACGGTCACGCCGCAGGTAACATTCACCAGTCCTGCGCACAGACCAGCTCCAAAAACGGCGAATCCCGTGAACATGTTAGTCGAGATCACCGTCTTGTCGGTAATTAGTCGCAAATCGGTAAACTTTGTCACACAGCCAGAAAGCAGGATGGCTGTAATCAGGCCGTAGATGGCCACCGCCTCACAGAAGATGACTGAGATCAGGTTCTTCGTCTTGATGCGAGGCGATCGAACGCCGCCGCCCGACACACTGCATCCAATCATGTAGATTCCACTGGCCGCTCCCAAAACGGAAAGGGCACAGGACAGGAAGATTCCCAGTCCGGACCACAGGAAAGGATTCGATGTGTACAAGAACCAGCCGAGCCCCATCCGCTCACCCATTCCGGTCATTACATTGGCCAGGATAATGCCACCCACTGCCAAGGTGGCGCCGCCAACGATAATCAGCACGAATATGACCAAAAATTCATTTCCACTTTTTTTTCGTATTACTTATTCAAAAGCGTAGACGTAATCTTTTTTGATTGATAAATCCAAGTTTAAAAAAGAACTCAAAATGAAAATTCCAAATAAAACACAGTTTTTTCAAACTATACTTCATGCTAAATAAAACAAACGCTTTAAAATACAATCATTGTATTTAGAACGAATATGAAATGATTACATAACAACTGATGTACTGGGGTTTCAATTCGTATGAATTAAGAATTAGCCGGTTTTTAACGGTTTGATTTGGCCACACGCTCGAGTTCGTCCTTCTTCTTGATTGCGTAAGAGTTGGAAGATCCTTTGGCAGCGTTTATCAGTTCATCGGCCAGACACTCGGCCACAGTCTTGATATTACGGAAAGCCGCCTCACGAGCTCCAGTGCATATTAGCCAAATTGCCTAAAAATAGTAAACTTTCGTTAAATGATCAACAATTTTCAAGGTATTTTTTTTGGAATTAAGTTTAAACCTTTTAAACATTAAGTTTCTTAATATTTTTCAATAAGTACTGGAAAAATAATATCGTGGCCTATATCTTAATGACTTATACCTGGTTCACGCGCCTTAAGGGCGACACATCCACCGCCTGACGACGCACGGTGCCGGCGCGTCCGATGCGAGTGGAGTCCTCGCGCGGTCCAGAGTTCACGATGGCATTCACGGTGACCTGGAGCGGATTCTCCGAGGTCAGCAGGTGGATGATCTCAAAGGCGTGCTTGACGATGCGGCAGGCGAGCAGCTTCTTGCCGTTGCTGCGACCTTTCATCATCAGGCCGCTGGTGAGGCGCTCAACAATGGGGCACTGGGCCTTGCGGAATCGCTTGGCCGCATAGCGTCCTGCTGAGTGCGGCAAATAGCGAGCAAACTTCTCCTTGACGGCAATGTAGTCCTGCAGCGAGATATCGCTTATCGAGATATCGTCGCAGGCCCAACGGCCAAATAACTTAATTTCCGGCCATTCAGCCTGCTGGGCAGGCATTGTGGTCGGGGCCTCTTCCTCCCAGATCTCCTCATCCTGCGGCTGCGGCTGTACCTGTTCCACCTCCTGGTTGTTAGCCTCGACTACTTCCTCGGACATTTTGGTTCACTTAAATCAGGCTGAAACTCAAGAAGCATGCGACTCGAAAAACGTTATTCGCGGAAAGAAAGAGGATGCAAAAGGAAGCTGTCAAATTTAAAATGGCCGCGAAATGCAACTCTGCACCGTGGGGTTGCCAGTTTGATACCGGTTTTCGGGCGGGAGTTTAAACTAAAAGCTCACTTCAACTATCAAGAAATTTTAATTGATATTAATTAGAAAGCCTTTAAGCAAATGGGAAGTACTTTCTATTTCTTTAAAATTTAGTATTTTATTTATTTTAATGCTGATTTAGCTTAGGTTTTCTTTTATTTGTGGGAAACTTCTTTACCGAAAGACGACACAAACGAGAATAAATCCTTATGCGAAATAAATAAACACTAACGTCGAGAAATCGTAAATAAGCATGCATATGCAGAAATTCAAGTTCCATTAACTGCTGACATAACATAACATCCATATAAACATAAATCGATTTTTGTCGACCTAATAGTAAATAATCTCAAGCTTATATGCACCGTTCATACGAATCGGATATTCCGTCCGGTTTGCATCGTCTTAGATTTTAATGTAAACTAGAGAAGTTGTAATCAATACAAATTTAAATAGATCATCACAATTCGAGCTCAAACAAAAGAAGCTTTAAAGCACTGACCTAGAACTCATTTCAACTTAAAAAATCACATGGATAATATATATGTATATATAGATGATGTTTGTATGTAATACACTTATGTATAACCATTTAGCGCGTGCTCCTGATAAGCCATCGTGGTCGCAGTTATTATCGCACACTAATTGATAAACAAAACGTATATATTTTATTATTTGTTTTAATATGGAATACTTTCTATAATAATAATAATGCGGCTGTGCATCTTTCTACAACTTCTGCCTTAAACAGTAGTGCGAAATATACAAATTTTTCGTTTTGTGGTAGTTAATATAATACATGTTGAATTAGCCTTTCGAAGGGCCAGGGTATAAACAAACATAACAAACTACTTAAAATCATAAACGGACACACACACACGTTGTCTTTCGTTTAGCAAAAAATTACATAAACAAATCGCGGTCTTTTTCACACCTTGCACACTCCACAATCTATTGAGTGATGCTGGTGACTGCAAAGTGTGCGGGGCGTGAAAATCAACTGCCAACTTAACCAACTATCAACTTAATAAGTAACTAAAGTCCCAGTTTAAAGCGTTTCGGCTGATCGGATGTCGTTTCTTGGTGAGTCTTCTGCAAGCTGTAACTATTGTAATGGGTCGTAATTTCCAAAAAAGCGCAAGCACTGGTGTTGTGCGTGCTTGCTTCGGGATGGGGGAATGCCTTGATGTTGATGACTGGTGGTTGTTGATCTTCGTGGTGATGAAGTGGGGAAGGCTGAGGAAGAAATTCAGAATTAAACGGGTGACTCAAATACATCGAGTATCGCAATAATAGCATTTCAGGCTTGACTTAAAACTGAGTTAAGTTGCATAACTATTTATCAAACTGTTTTTTAAAAACAAGATAAATACTCTTCCCACTACTTTTGTTGACGGTATTTAAAAAAATTATACCAAAGATATGACAATTGATTTGCGAAATCTAATTGGGGTTTGATTGCTTTTGCTGGAAGTTCATTCTAATTGCCAAAAACTTGCTCAAAAAAATTTATTCAAAAATGTTTACCTTGAACTGCCACGTAAAAATGTTTCTTACATTTTTTATTTACCACTTTTTAATCAAACCTAAATTAAAATGGAATTTATACATCACCGACGTATGGTAAGCGAACGGATTAAAGCTTTCTTTAACTACATCATGACTCCAACTAATAGTCTAAGCAATCTTACTAAATCTTTGTATGCAAGCCTCAAATGATAAGCAGGGCCAGTGCTATTGTCCTAACCTTCGCTGCGCGACGATGATTCACACTTACACTGAATGACTGACGACTGCTCCTACTCCTTGTCGCCCATCTTGGACTTGGAGGTCATGTAGATGCCCACGATGAGGCCGAACAGACCGATGGCCGAGCCGAAGATCTCCACGATGAGGATCTTGACGAAGAGGGCGGCGTTGGCTGCGTCCGAGAGGGCGGCTCCCGATCCGACGATGCCGACAGCGATACCGCAGAAGAGGTTGACCAGACCGACGGCCAGGCCGGCGCCGAAGATGAGGTAGCCGGAGAACCAGTTCGTGTTCTGGATGGCCGTCTGCGACAGGGCCGTCTCCATGGAGAACTGCTCCAGCTGGCCGGACAGCACGATGGCGGTGATCAGGCCGTAGATGGCCACTGCCTCGCAGAAGATGACCGAGATCAAGTTCTTGGTCTTGATGCGGGGCGCCTTCACGCCACCGCCCACGATGCTGGTGCCCGTGGTGTGGATGCCCAGGGCGGCGCCCACGACGGACAGCGAGACGGACAGGCCGATGCCCAGACAGGCCCACATGTACGGGTTCGAGGAGGCCAGGAACCAGCCAACGCTCACCCGCTCGCCCTTGCCCGTCATCACGAAGTACAGGGTCAGGATGGTGGCCACCGCGAGGAAGAGCCATAGGAACGTTTGGGACACCACGGTGCGTATTTGGGCCGCCATCTTGCTATTTCTTCACTGTCTGCGGATCGGGGGAGTGTTAGCACGTCCGAATTTCCAAATTTTCCAGCTGACACTCACCGAATTGCAGGCGTAATTGTGTTTTTTCGGCCGACAGGTGACTGCTTCGTGCGAAAAAAGAATCCACAATCACATGACGTACATTTTCTCTATCATAAGCTATCGAATAATCACGCCACTCGATAAGTGCGATAACACAACTGTGCGCAGCGATGAGCAGATGTCCATTATAAAGCTTAATATGCTTATTATTGGGAGTAATAAGAAATATGGCGTGGAACTGTTCTACAAAATATTAATAAAACGAATAATAAAACAGAAAAGCATTAATTAAATTTCAACTGTATTATTTTAGAAAATATTTATGTTTCACTAAACATTCCGCTGAGATGCCACCCCTTAGAAAATATTTATAGTAAGACACAGACCATAATAATGGACTAAAAGCCAGGACAACAACCGATAAATACGGAAAATATCGATTTCCTTAGTTTACAATTAAATTAAAGTTTGGCGGTTAAAATTTTAACTTGGAAGATAATATGAGAAATAAAATAAGATATAAAATAAAATATGAAATGAAATGTTATAAATTTGTATAATAATTTTAAGCAAATAAAATACTTTTCAATTCATTTGACTTTTCGGTAAAGCTGCATGACCTTCTAAAGAGTCAATCATTTTAAAGTGTGCATAACTATAAAAAAAATTGTCAACTTTTTATTATAGTCATAAATTTGAATATATTTTTATTGCCAGAGACAACTTCAAGTGGCTAGCCTTCTTCAAATGCAATTTTCTTGTTATTCACTCGGCCTAAGAGATTTATCTTTTCTTAGTAGTAAATGTTTGGGTCTGAGATAAGTAATATTTTTTATTTACGCTCATTAAATTTTCCCATATAAATGGCACATCTCTTGTTTATTTTCATTTGCTTGTGTTTTTGTATGCATATCAGCAGTCGGACGCCTTTTTGCAGTTCAGTGGCCACCGCTCGAGCCTCGAGGAATTGCGCCTACGCGTGAAAAACCATTCTGCCGGCAGCGACTTTTCCAGCCCATTGAATTGGCCGGGGGAGCTCAGGTCAGGTCAAGATTTCGTCCTGGATGAGGGCACGTTTAACAGCAACCACGTGACGGCAGCGTCATCCCGAGCCACATCATCATTAAATATTTACACTACATTATAATTCCTTTTCTTTCCTGCCGCGGCGCGTGTCACAGTTAACATACATTTTTGCACCTCAAGAAATACAAATATTTCTTCAAAATAGTTCATATTTAAAAAATAATACAATCCTATTAAATTTATGTATCCAAGATATTATAAATTAAATATAATTTTGTATATATTGTTCTTATGGCTTTAAATTTTGGTATAAATAGCAACATTTTCTAAAGAGAAAACAGTAACAAGTGTTTTTGCAAAGGAAACAGTTTTTTGTTTGAGTGCAAGGAAGAGGTTCTGAGGAGGAAAATGTCTTACAAGAAACGGAAGAAGGAAAAGTCAGGGCAGGCGGCACAACCGCAACATTCAATTAAACGTAATGTGTTGTTTGTTGTCCCTCGAAGGACAGGTTTGTCCCTTGCCCCTTTGGCACCACCCCTTCTTCGGCTGCCCACTCCACCGCCTTGATAATAAATGTAAACTTTTCACTTGAAAAATTCACGACACGCATAAAGAACGAATAAAATGAGATGTCTACGGATAAGCCAGAATTGCTATGGGTCTGGGTCAAGTCACAATATCACAAGAGAAATCCATTAACCTGTGTCTTTCTTCTCCTCGACTAACTTTCGTGCGCGGCTTATCTTTGAGGTCTTCTTAGTCTTTTTTTAGACCAGTAGCAGAGTAATGGCCGAGATCTCTTAAAGTAATTTGCCAAGTTTAAGGCCGCCTCGCCAGCGAGAAGGCAACACTCATGTGCCGCTTGACTGCGGAAAAAACACAACAATAAAGCATATGCATAGGAGCACCTTTTGTTCACCTGCCACCACTTGGCAACATAACCAACAACAACAACAACTACAGGAGCAACAGTAGAGTGAACTGTCGCCACAGAGTTTAGTTTTCTATAGACCGGAAGTTGGCCGGGCATATAAAAGGCCTTCCGCTGCTTTCCGGTGAAATGTTGCATTTCAAGCATGCCCAGACATGAGCAGCCAACAATATGCAAACCAGCAAAGCAGCAACATCAACAGCAGTGCGTCCACTGTTGCAAGAGCGTCTGAAGTAGCCGGGGGGCACAATGAACTTCAAAAGAATGCCAGACTGAGGAATATGGAATACGGAAGGCTAATTTTGAGAGTCATTCAGGAAAAGGCTTGGTCACGAAAGGAAAACAGAGCTAGCTAAACCGCATTCTAAGAACAACTATGGTTTGGGTAGCTATTTAAGTAGGAAATATTTAGTATTAATAATGTAAAAGGTCAAGGTTCAACCAAGTAAATACTATCTTACTCTTAATTTTTG